GCATAAGCGGCGCCAGGGCGCGGCGGAAGGGTAGGTAGGGGCGCCAGACCAAGGGAGGAGGAGGGGAGGAGGAGGAGGAGGAGGAGGAGGGGAGGAAGGAGGGAGGAGGAGGAGGAGAGAGGAGGAAGAGGAGGAGGAGGGGAGGAGGGGGAGGGGGGAGGGGCGGAGGAGGGAGGAGGAGGGGAGGAGCGGGGGAGGGGGCGGAGGAGGAGGAAGGAGAAGGAGGAGGAGGAGAGGAGGAGGAGGAGGATGGGGGAGGAGAGGGAGGAGGAGGAGAAGGAGGAGGAGGAGACGGAGGAGGAACAGGGACAGTGACAAGAGGCAACTGCAGCGCCCGCATGCTGCGGCTGCCCCAGGCCGGCTCGTGCACAGCATCTCATCGTTGGCGAAGTGCCGTGTTGCTCCTCCAAATCTGGAGGAGTCGGAGGCGTCGCCTGCGGCGGCTCTGGCCAGCTGCCATCGCTCGACCGCCTCTTGCACGCGAGCCTCGGTGAGGCCGTATGATTTGTGCTGCTGTAGGCACCTCCGCCCCACTCAGCCGATGCCCGCCGGGGCCGCAGCTGGCCCCAAAGCCAGCCTCCAAGGCGGTCGCGGAGGCGACACGCGACGCAGCCAGGGGGAAGTCAGAGGAGGCGGGGCTCCCTGAGGTCTTGGGAGCAGGTCCGAAACACCCGCAGAAGCCAGGGCGGGGGGACAAGGGCGAGGGACCTCCCTGAACGGCAGCGCCTGGGGGGATGAGGACCGCTGCTTGTGCTCGCCACTTTCGAGCTCTGGTGGGAACCATGGGAATAGACACATCTATATATATATATATATATATATATATATATTATAGATGTATGGGTGAGAAATACCTTGATACATCAATGTGTAGCTATGTATGTGTATACCATCGAGGTACGCTAAGGTGTTCACGCGCGAAGCAGAACATGTTGTCGAGCGTCTCACGCTCGCGAACCGACCCTAAAGAATGCCCACCATACTGTGTGCGGTGGCGGTGGCGAACACCGTGCTGGTCATGTGCCTGCCCGCGACCCAGGCCGGGCAAGAGACAGACCCAAGGATGACTTAGCCCCAGATCTGCCTCCTGACGGGCCAAGACGAGAAGGCCAATCCTGCCTCGAAGGGGGCGACGGCTCTCGGGTCAGCGTGCTGAAAACATAACATGTCGCCGCGACGTTTGTCCTACGCCGACACCACGGCAAAACCACGGCAAGCTCTGCATGCCGCGCCCCCCCCAAAAAAAACGCAGCCAACGCCGCGGCAAAGCCCACCGCAAAACCACCGCCTCCGAGGCGGCATTTGCCCTGGTGGCAGCGGAGCCCTCCCCCAGACGAAGGCCGCGCGTCGGAACAAACGGCGCGGTGACACATGCTCAGGTCTTAAAAATGCAGGACTGGAGGTTTTTGACCGTCACGGGCCTCGTGGGGGCCTTCCCAGCCCGGTCCTGGGAGAAGGGTCGTGACTTCTGGGGACGCGGCGGCGGCCCCGGCGATACCGGCATGCCCTGCAAGCGGACAGCGTGTCGCTCCGCTCCGCGCGGCGGGTGGCTGGGAAATGATCGGGACGTGGACGGCTGGGGTCTGGGAATGGACTAGCGTGTCGCGCCGAAGCGCGGTGGGAAAGAACTGGCGGCGCGACTCGCTGACCCAAAGTTTCGGACTATCTGTGATGCACGTCGCCTGGGAAGCTTCAAATTCGAACGACCCCGTCGCCAGAAAGTGGTGTTGGCACGGACGCATGTTCCTTCAAAGTATGTAGGTCCGATCAGGCCTCCGACATGGGGTACGGGGTCGGAGGATCGCGCCGCGTGGTCGACGCATCACCGACGCCGTGGCACCGTGGGAGTGGAGAAAATCGGGCTACACCTCGAGTCGCATCGCCGATGCTGCGCGATCCTCCGACCCCATCTGCTTCGACCCTGTTCGGCAGGGCATCATCAATCGGCAGTTGGGGCGCTCTGGAAATCCCAAATCCAGCCATATGTTGACATCTCTAGTGGGCCTACTCCAAATCCCTCATTAATCGACCCCCCCCCAAAAAAAACGGCCCCCCTCCAAATGACTCAGTATTCTAAAACCCCCTCTTCGACGGGGCGCCTTAGTAAACCGGACCCCCTAAGCTCTAAGCCAAAGAAACCGCCCTAAGAAACCGGACCCCCCCAATTACAAAAGAGGCGCCCCAAAAAACCGGACCCAGGGGAGCCGATGAATAAGGGATTTGCAGTACCGACCGTCCCAGCATTTCTGTAGGCATATCCCGAAATGTTCTGAGAACCCACAAAGGTTCGAAAAACACAAACAGTGATCTTAGAAGATAAGCCTTGTGTTGAAACAAGACAGTCCCAGCCAGAAATGTTATAAGAACACCTCGTGGAAGCCACAAAAGGTTCTCAGGACTTTCTTTGGTAGGCCTACAGGCGAGCCAAGACGCTTCGCCACTGCTTGACATCCGAATCCGCGCCCTCACGGTCTCGAGTCTGGGGCGCGATCCCGCCGCTACGCGGCCGCACGGCCGCGCTCCGCACAGGGCGCCCGCGAGCCAAAGTCCAGCGCCCGCGGGTTCGCAGCGCAGGGGCCCCGCCTGCGAGGCCGCGGAGATACGCTCCGCGCGGGGCATCCGCGCACACACGCCCAGCATCCGCGGAGCCGCACAGGGGGCCACATGCGAGCCCCAGAGTCGGGCTTGATTGGAGAGGACACGCGAGAGGACACAAGACCGAGGGCCACGTTGCCACAGAAATGCAGGAGGCATGGGTCGCGAAACACAGGACGCGAGGGAACCATTGATCTGGCAGGGTCGACCTACTAATCCGGGCCGCCTGTGACCCTATACCCCCCACAATTTCTTCGGGGGAGGATGGGGTAGGGTTAAGTACTCCTCCTGTAGAGGGACATGCCCGACTTCAGGGTAGGGCTCGCATGTGGCCCCCTGGCCGCAGCCCGAGGGGCCCGGCCTGCGCGGCTGCGGATGCCAACACGGTCGCCGCCAGTGGCGCTACACTTCAGCCCAGCTCCGAGGGCCTAAGCCAGCGGAGCCGCAGTCGTTCCGCTCGGGCGGGCGCCGCGGGGGGGGGGGCCCAGGGGAGGCGAAGAACGGGGCTATCTAAGGAGCCCTTCAGGGCCCCTTTCGGAGCCAGCAGGGGTCTAAACAGGGGCACTGGAGGGCCCCAATTAGGGCCCCTTTCTCCCCCCCCCCCCAAGGTCACCTCCCTTTCACACCCGCCCGACTCGTTCTGCTTCCGCTGGCTTCCGCCGAAGAAGGGCTGTCAACTCCTTCGATCCTCAACAGTGAGGCCTCTTCTGGGGCGCCCCGGGCGGTGCTCCCGGGAGGCCTGCCGACACTGCCCACCGCATGGGGGCCCCATCGCGATCGCGAGCCGTCGCGAGCAGATCAGAGGCGAATGCTGCTCGTGCGCTACCCACCACCTCGGGTCGGGCGGGGATCTCGAGTGGTTAGTGGGTATTTCCGTCGGCCCTGCCTGGGCCCCCTCTGCGTGGGATGCAGGCCTGTGTGCAGACTCCGGCACATGTGCGTTTGCGTGCGCATGCACGGGGAAGGGGGGGAGGGAGGAAGACGTGGGGAGGCCCGAGGGGAAATCTGGACTTCGCGCGAGGTCCGGAATCACATGCACGCCTTTTCGGCCCAGCGTCGTTCGAAAAAGCGGCGGGAGGGGGGGGGGGCGAAAGGAGGAGGAGGAGGAGGAGGAGGAGGAGGAGGACGGGAGGAGGAGGAGGAGGAGGAGGGAGGAGGAGGAGGAGGAGGAGGAGGAGGAGGAGGAGGAGGAGAAGGAGGAGGAGGAGGAGGAGAAGGAGGAGGAGGAGGGGGGGGAGGAGGGGGAGGAGGAAGGAGAGGAGGAGGAGGAGGGGGAGGAGGAGGAGGAGAGGGAGAAGGGTGCAGAAGAGGAGGGGGAGGCAGAAGGAGGGAGGAGGCAGGATGGGGGGGGGGAGAAATGGCATGCAAATCACCAAGGGTCTCCATAACAAAAACACTCCCATTGCGCACAATCGGCCCTCCCCTCCCCTCCCCGGCAGCCTCGGCGCTGGACAGGGCCACCCCGGCGAAACAACGCCCCGATTCCTCCGCAGCGTGGGTCCCCGGAGGTTCGGACCCATTCGGGTCCCCGGGGGTTGGCGTCTCGTCCCGACCCGGGCCGCCTCGTCGCGGGACTGGGCCACCTCAGCGAACCGACGCCCTGATTTCTTCGTTGGCTACCTACCAGACCATGCAAGACCCGAATTTCGGGTTGGGAGGGGGGGGGACGGGTTCCACACATGCGTGTTCAATGTCTGTTCTGCGACGCCCCCCGCCCCCGCACTGGGAATGGAAGGCACATTGGGACGTTCGCGTTGGGTTTGAGTGGTTTGGTCGGTGGTGGAGGCGTGCCCGGGCGGGACGCCATGACTCGCCATCGCTCGGACGTCCGGTATTCTGTTGGCTTCGTGCGTGTACGGTTCCACGATGCTCCAATCTGTTCCTCGAGCGATGCCACGATGAAGGCAGGGCCCTCAGACTTTTCGACGTTCTGGAGCTCCCCGGACCCTCCCCCGGTGGGCGGCGCTTCGTCCAAAGGGTTCTGCTATAGACGGTCCCATGGGGCCCGGCGAGGGCCCCCTGAGCCCCCAGAGTTGCAAAACGCCCTCCGTCGAAAGATCTTCGCGACGCGGGCTTGGAGCACCGCGGGGGGTACTGAGGGGGCAGGTGGGTTTCACGTTGATGCCAAGGTGTGTTGCGGTTTGCCTGACCTAGCTCATAAGTTGGTTACAGGCGCCTTCGATGGCTTGGGTGGGTTCGGTGACTCCGCCAAATGGGCGGAGCTCCCTTAGCCCCGCAGCTGTACCCCACAAAGCCACTTGGGGCACTTGCAAGTCACTTCCAGATTAGCGCAGGCAAGCTATCAGCCACCTGGGCATCCACTTGTAACCCCCCTTCATCCCCTTAGCAACCCCCGCGGTGATCCAAATAGGTTGCGCGCCGCCCGCCCTCCCCTCGCTGGTCGCCTCGTCGCGGGACAGGTCCGCCGCGATCCGGGCGTCCTGCGATGGGCACCGGCGCCCAGGTGGCGGGACAAAGGTGCTCCCAGGCTTGACCCTGAGCAGGGCCCAGCCTCACTGGAGGGAGCAATGACACCTTCAGTGGCACACCGCCGCGGGGATGCTGAAGTCTGGGCGCTGCAACCAGACCATCACATGTCGATCTGGCTTGAAACCTGCTACAGCAAGATGAGGTATAGGCTCTATAGGGCTCTGGTTCTACACGTATGTGTCCGCCACGATTGTTTTACAACGTCGGATCTCCGGGCGTGGGGAACCCGTCAGCATAATACGCGTGAAGAAACGCAGTGTTTCTGGGCAAAGACAAAGGGGAAGCATGTTGACGGGATCCCAAGTGATACTCGTTTCCCCCCCCCCCATCTAGGGGAGGCGTCGCGAAGGCGAGGGGGATGAGGCCCAACCCCTCCCATGTCCTGGCTGTTGTCCTTGAAGTCGGCCACAGGGCCCACCAACAAGTTATCTTGGCGAAAGACCCAGCCACATGCAGTTGTGAGTATCGCCGTTGTGTGTATCGCCTTCTGTGGATCTCTCTATGTAGCCGTGGAGCGTGTGAGTGGTGTGTCGAAATGGGGCGGTGCCGCCATGTGGGCGCTGCTGCTGCGGCTTTACGTACCCTCCCCCCTATGGGGCCACGAGACGTGTGAGAGGTATGCCGAAAAAGGCGGGGCCGCCATGCGAACGTCGCCACTGGAGCCTTCGGTGGAGCTCCCTATGGGGCCTCGAAACGTGTGAGGGGGATGCCGAAATGGGCCGGGTGGGACGCATGCGAACGTCGCCAATAGGGCCTTCGGTGGAGCTCCCTGTAGGTCAACAATACGTGTAACAAGTGTGCCGAAATGGGCGGCAGGGCGGACGCATGCGAACGTTACCACTGGGTCCTTCGGTGGAGCTCTGTATGGGGCCACGAGACGCTGTACTGGGCGGGGTGGACGCATGCGAACGTCGCCACTGGGGCCTTCGGTGGAGCTCCCTATGGGGCCACGAAGCGTGTAAAGGGTGTGCCGAAGTGGTTGATATGCGGAGAGCAGAGGCACGCATGGAAGGAGGGAGAAGGGCAAGAGGAGGAGGAGGAGGAGAAGGAGGAATAGAAAGAGGTTGAGGGGGAAGGACGCAGGACGCCCTGCCGCTTCAAAACGAGGACCCAACACCACAGGATGCTTGGGAATGAATGTGCTGCTGCTACGAGGCGGGGGGGTACCCATATCCACTGAATGGAGGATCGACCTCTGAGGACCTCGTGAACCGGTGAATACGGGTACATGTGCCCCACCCCAGGGCCCGAGTATATACACGACCACCGCCTGTCGAGGTCTCCTAAGATGGATCTCTCCGGTCGGTAGATATGCATTCCAGCCTCAGAACTGCGGTGGGGGCTCAGTCCAATCCTGATCTCCTTACATTCTCGAGCCCAAGATCAGTCAACATCAAGACGCGAAGTCGGATCGAGTCGGAATGAAAATCAACTCGGGGCTGAATCGGTTCGGACAGGAAAAGCGACACGAATCGCCCGCGCCAGAAAGCACAACAAACACGGGGGCACAACGGATCGCAAGAAAACCGAATTCGTACCGGGCCAGTCCGGGTCAACTCACTCGACATCGAATCGGATCGATCGAATCGAAATGGGCCCTGGGAGGACGCTGCTCTTGCGTGACGCCAGCCCCCATGGATCTGGACCACTTCCTGAGGGGCCGATTTCCCACCACCACTACAATAGGTAGGGGAGGGAGGAGGAGGACGAGGAGGAGGACAAGGAGAAGGATCGATCGAATCGAATTGAAGACGACCCAAAGGTCGAATGCTCATTTTGGGATACAGGGTCCCGGGATGTCCCGGCCAGCTTGTCATTCCGGGTTGTCTTTGGAACGCCCTCTGGGCCAGGCGAAGGGCTCCCGTAGGCCAGCCACAAGGGACAGCATCCGCCCTGCGGTTTCTTAAATTTAAAAAAGTCCACATAACCCCGCACTCAAAACAAAACCAGACATCAGATGGGGCGTTCCGTAAGGGGCCTTGCCTTCGAAGATCGAAGGAGTTGTCAGCTCTTCCGCATCGGAAGGCGGAGGAGTGTCGGCGGAAGTAAAACGAGGCCGTCTCCGCAGGCGGAAGCCAGCGGAAGGGCGGCGGAAGGCGGCGGAAGTGAAAAATGCGTCCCGAAGAGTGATGTCGCTTTTGGGTTCAGGGTTTCCGAAGTCGTCCATCTGTTTGGGGAGGGAGAAATGAAGGAATGAGATCGTTCCGACGTCGCCTACTGTTGTGATGTGGGCCTGACGGGATCTCGGCCATGAATCGTTGTTTGAAGGCTTGGGGCCATGAGCCTGTTTTTGGACGCAATGAATCCAAAAGATAACCTGGACATCACATTGATTTTGTTTGGTGTCGGCCGCTTACCCTGACATCCGACGTCGTGCCATTTTCAATACGTGCCCCCCCATAGGGCTGAACCCCTTCCTCACGGCTGGTTTTTCATTTGGGGTAGTTTCTGATGGTCCCAAACCGGGTGAGAGCCCCCGAAGCACGACAATTAACAATAACTTTCCGCCGAGACATTCTCCATCGCGAAAAGCTGTCAGGATCCGAGGGTGGCAGGATCGACGCGGACGAGGCCACGGCTTTTGATTCCAGTGGCACGACCAGAGCGAGCAAAACGCCCACCAACGAAAAATTCCTCCAAACCATCGACGCCCGCTGTTGAGCACGCGACCTCTCGTGCCAAGTGGACCACCCGAACAAAAACAATCACTGCTGTCAACCTACGTGCTCATTCCCGTGCCCATTCGGCGGGTTCCAGAAACCCCGAGCCACAAGGAACCTGTTTTGAGAAGCCGATCGTTACTTCCGCCGGCTTCTGTGGGCCTTCCGCCGGCTTCCGCGTCGGAGCTGGCCACACCTTACTTCCTGTTCTCACGGCGGCGCGCAGTGCGCCCAACGCAACCTGAGGATCGAGGCTTCGCGATGGGTTTCGGGTAAAAATCAATCGACATGAGGCGCGCGACGTGGTTACTCATATCGAGAATGGTGGCATTCGGGGGCTACGCAGTGGGGATGGCAGAGCTGGGTCGCGAAGGCGCTCGCCTTGCGGACCCCCGAGCCCCGCCCGTACGCGCCCCCGCCTCTGCGGAGGCGGCATTGCAGGAGAGGCGCCAATGGCCCCCTTTCTGAGGTGTGGGCGATTTGCGCATTCCTCTAAGATTCGCTAGCGCCGACGCACGAGGGAGAAGGAGGACGCCGAGGAGGCAGGCTCAAAGCGCACCCTCGTAGGGCACAGGACCCCGAGAAGTCACTGCAAACGTTTCTGTCTTGCCTTGCCATCTTATGTGCGTCGCGAGAAGCCAGAACTGCCGTGAGCCAGCGCTCCCCCGAGGCGCCACAACTTGTTACAATTTAAAGGCTACTCGACAACCGGAGCTCAGCCGATACCGGGAATAACCGCCTCGTCATGAAGTCAACGTGAGAGTCACCGGTGAGGACACCCCTGTCGAGGCGAGGGCGGCAAGCGAGGAGCACGAAATCTCGAGACACGCACCGCGCGAAGTACCCGCCGAGGGCGCTGCACCCCCCCTCTGTGTCCTTGCTCCTCCCAATAGCTCGAGTTCCTTTTGCTCACAACACGTGGAAGTTCATCTTACCGACGCGGAGCGACAAATAGGAGTGCACCATATCATCGTCGCAGCAGCAGTGCCCAGACGTGCACTTAATCAAAAACTTCACTCCCTTGTTTGCGTAAACGAAAGCGTGGTTGTCCACAGCGGCACAGACCGCGGCTGCGAGGACGAAGGTGCCCACGGCCGTGGGCGAAGACATGGCTGCCCTCGGTGATCGCATCACCATTCTGGATCTCGAAGCCATCGAGCACGGTCGGGCTGGGAATTGCGATCCAACTTGGAAACGGGGCGGCCGAATATCCTTTGAGCCGATAAGGTGTCGTCTCGCTCCCGCGAACTTCCGCCGACCCTCCGCCGAGGAAGAGATGCCAACCTCTTCGAACCCAGAAAGCGAGGCCCTGCCTGGAATGCGGTAGCAAGATCGCGGATCGGCGGCGACGATAAGGGCGAATGGCTCAGGGGCGGGCATTACACGTGTTCGCCCGGGAGCCTTGTCGAAGACACAGATCATCGGCGCCCCCGGATACATGTGTTGCTCTCCCCTGGGCGATTCGCCCCCTATCGTCGCCTCTGAGAGGAGGAGGAGGAGGAGGAGGAGGAGGAGGGGGAGGAGGGGGAGGAGGAGGAGGAGGAGGAGGGGGAGGAGGGAGGGGGGGGGGGGAGGGGGAGGGGGAGGAGGAGGAGGAGGAGGAGGGGGGGAGGAGGGGGAGGAGGAAGGAAGAGGGGGAGGAGGAGGAGGAGGAGGAAGAAGAGGGGGGGCGCAGTGTTGAACCCTGCGCCCCCCCTCTGTGTGTTGGGCGCCCACGGCCGGTCCTCCTCGGCCACCAGCAGCTCCTCGCCCCGCGCGCGCCCCCCCGCGCGCGCACCCCCCCGCCCCCATGGCCGGAGCGGCCGCCGCGGTCGAGGGTCGATGCTCGGCTACTCCGGCGGGCGGGGGATCGACTACGAAAACGAGGTACGCCAACATTGGCTTTGCCGAAACTGCAAGATGTACGTATCATATTCCGTAGATGTACGGAGCATTGTATGCGCTTGCTGTAGTTTCGGCGGGAAGACAATTCAGGGGTAAACCGATTATGTAGTCAACCTCCTACTCGAATTATGGTGCGCATCTCATCACCAAGACCCCTTGGGGTCAGGATAGATTCGCGGCGGAGTGATTTTGTGTTTCTCTGTCTAGGGGCCCTAGCTGGGCCCCGGGACCAGCGAAAAAAGGCTCAGGAGGAACCAGTGGGTCGAGACATACGGGGTCCACGTCATGAAAAAAACATTACGTCGGGGGTCTGGGGATGCAGAGATCGAAGTTCGGTATGCGGCACACTGCAATATTCAACAGCACCTCGCTGACTGCCCCCCTGCGATACAATGCCAGAGAAACCT